ATTATTAAACACACGAGATGTTAGAAAGAAATGAAGTCTTAATGTGAAAGCTGATAATAGTTGAATTTAACTTTTACGTATGGATGTGTGTTATTGTATATTATTCCAAATGTTTATTGAGAATCTTGTTATTTCGCTTTTCAAAGCTTGCACAGTAGACTAAGATCCCGAATCCACATGTTGAAATGACGACTAATACAACCATAAAAAATAAAATAACTTCTCACAACCTGAAGTTTCAGCATACTCGTTTTTTCTATGGGCCACAGCGTCACAGACTAAAAGAACTGTCTGAATAATGTTGTATTATTAATTCTTATCCTAACAATTTGATTTGTAAATAGATAAACTTGATTACAATTACATTCACTTGCTTAATTTGGTTCATGCTGGAACAGTGATTGTTCATGAAAGTTGATGATATATATATAAATATATATAGTGCCTAGACGGCCACAGTGTCTGTCGATCCCAGTTGGCCTAATGAGCCCTGGTGTCGTACGAAAGGTCTCGTCGGCACTGTGTATGGCAGATATAGTTTGATTGAAAAATTATAACGTGCTCTCCTTTGCTATAATTCATGGGTTCTTAGATATAATGACAGCACTACTGTCATCTAATGTAGATTACAAATATCTATTCGCTCTAACAAACACCAAAAAATCTTCTAGATAGAGATGATTAGACCAGCTGGGTTTTCAGGGGATTTTATTTCTTAGATGTTCACGATACTCCTTCCTTTCATAATGTGAAAATGTTATTAAATGCCCAGTAAAAAGGTCAATTAGTCTTTTACATTCTATTATTTCTCCAAATAGCAAAACAATGTTATTTGCCTCAGGACATTTTACGATCAAATACTAAAGTAATAAGGCTGCAAGAAAAGAAAAAAAGTTTCAAGAAGCGAGAATTTATATTTGGAATTTTGTTGCAAAGCTAAAAAGGGATATCAACACATAGTCGCCCATAATTCTTTATCTATATTTATGGCAAAGGTACTAATGGTGTCTACTGCTGTTCCTAATTTTGAACTACTGACCAGAGGGAAGGCAGCCAGTCAGCAGCACTCTATCAACCACGCTAGTATATTAACTGTCACTCTTATAACGCACCTATAGCTTAATGTGTGTGAGGAGAGAATATTTTTTGGTATCGCACGGATTCGAACCCGGTTCTCCGGCTGCAAAATACAGAGTTCTGCCTCAGGGTCAACCCGCATCTCTGTAGGATTCATGAGCTAAAGAGAATACAGGTGGTCAATAACACCACCGCCATCTCTTGGACTACTCTTCTCTTCCCGAATAGTGCGATTTCACTGTCACTCTTAGAGCACACCCACGGCAACAAAGGATAGAGAGCGTTTTTGCAGCAACGGGAAGCAAGCCATGAACCCTTTGATTCGTAGCCTAGACATGCTAATCCTGGGCCACACCCGGTTCATGGAACGAGAAATATAAGCGTGTAAGGTTACATAAAGTATTCGAAAAGAAAAATAAGAAATATTTGAGTTTTACGTCTTGTTTGTATTTTCGCTGCGAAAATCATTATACATTATATCATTATAGGAAGAAGCATATTAGGTGTCATAAACAAAAATATAAAAACGAATAAAACACAAAATGAGGACCATTAGCAAATGTTATGCAGAGAACCAGCCGTACAGACATGCTGATGGGATATAATGTGGGTGGATGTGTCGTCAGTTGAAACTAGGATATTCAGTTTCACACTTTGATTTTCTATGTTTAGGTGTATTTTATTTAGATGTTTCTTCGTGTAGAAAAGCGCCCTCTACCTAATGTTTCCTGTATATTAGAGAAATGTGATCGCTGGTTTTTCCTACGATCGGCACACATTTTGCAGTTATATCGCTAGATGGAGAAGATAACTGAGGTACCTTCTGTTAAAACGAGTATCTTTATCAACGAATTCCATAAAACTATTGAATTTATTAAGATTAAGATGCAGCCTATTCCAAACTATTTCTAAAGAACAATCGAGCAGTTATTAGAATTATTAATGTGTACAATAATTGTAATTAAATACTTTGTTAACGTTACTGGAAAAAAAGACCTTTACGGAGGTAAAAAGCTTATTGACATAGTGTCTTCGTGGATTTAAGTTTTAGTATCATATATTGGGGAATAGCTGTGCTGGGTCTTGGTATCCTATACACGTGGTATTTCTAGGCTGAGATTTGGAATCATCTGCACGTGGCATTTCTGGGCGAAGTTTAGGCATCCTGTAGATGTGGTATTTCTGGGTTGGGTTTTAGCATCCTACACAGGAGATATTTCTGGGCTAGGTTTTAACATCCTATAAACGTGGTATTTCTGGGTTGGGTTTTAGAATCCTACACACGTGGTATTTCTGGTTGAGTTTTGACGTCCAATTCATACGGTATTTCTAATTGGGGTTTTGGTATTCCATATACTCAGAATATCTAGAGTATATATTCGTATCCTTTACAGGTATTTCTGGTTGAGTTTTGACGTCCAATACATACGGTATTTCTAATTGGGGTTTTGGTATTCCATATACTCAGAATATCTAGAGTATATATTCGTATCCTTTACATGCAAAATGATTTTCTACGTTCAGGATATTTAAATTATATTTCGGTATCCCATACACCTTGAATGCCCTGAATAGATTTAATTTATTCTTTACACCCAAAAAATGGGGCAAGTTCAACATTCATGTCCATTTCTGATAGGACTTATATAAATCCGTCTCAAACAAAGCTAATCTAATAAAAGTTTGGAAAAATATTCACACACACACATACACATATATATATATGTGTGTGTGTGTGTGTGTGTTTGTGTATGAATGTATGTATAATGAGTATGCACGTTGTATGAATTGTCAACATCAGCACGAGTATAATAAGTACTTTGTAAATTATTTAATTTATAAAGTTGTACCTTATTATGTTTCGCATAGGCCCGGCATGGCCAGGCTGTAAGGGTGCTTGAAACGCAATCTGAGGGTCGTGGGGGTGTTATAATGTTACGGCCAATCCCACTATTCGTTGGTAAAAGAGTAGCCCAAGAGTTGTCTGTGGGTGGTGATGACTAGCTGCATTCTCTCTAGTCTTTCACTGCTAAATTATGGACGCTAGCGCAGATAGCCCTCGTGTAGCTTTGCGCGAAATTCAAAAACAAATACATAAATAAAGTAAAATCACAACGTTTGACATAATTTCCATACCCCTATCCATTACAAGTCGTGAACCCATACTTTAATCGTTTAAATTAATATTGGAGCTCTCTGCTAGGCCGATATACCTTGCCGTTTTTTTTGTCACCGTTTTTCATTTAACGCAAAAAATAAAAATAAAAATTCTGGCAACTTATTTGCTGATTCTGTTTTTTTCTCTCACGCCCAACGTAAAACTAACTTCACGTGTTTCGATCACGCCTATGACGTCGCTACCTCTTCCTTCTGTTTTCCACCTGTCAGCAATTTTTTTACAAGGTTTAAACAGAAACCTTAAAGTGCAGCATTTTTCCAAATTATAAAAGTACGGAGACGTAGCGACAACCTAAAAACAATACGGCATCTCTAATCAAACCATTTTTAATGTATTATAGAAGAAGTGGTGCTTCACTGTCCAGTGCATAGTTTTCTATCAAGGAATAAAATATATACACACTATTTTCTTATATGATTGAATTAATCAGTTATGACAGTGATTCGTGACATTATAAATGTAGACTTTTAACTGTTGTAGGAGAAAAAATCAAATTATGCATTACTAGCGGTAAAAGGGGATCCTAAATACAACCAAATTATTCATTAGTAGCGGTAAAGGGGAACCTAAATACAACGAAATTATGCATTAGTAGCGGTAAAGGGGAACCTAAATACAAACAAATTATGCGTTAGTAGCGGTAAAGGGGAACCTAAATACAATGAAATTATGCATTAGTAGCGGTAAAGGGGAACCTAAATACAACCAAATTATGAATTAATAGCGGTAAAGTGGAACCTAAATACAACCAAATTATGCATTAGTGGCGATACG